GAATAACTAAAGCAGAGGAATCACAAATCCAGACTACAAAGTTTACCACAGAGCCCTAGGAATAAAATCAGTTTGAGGGACTGGGAAGGTGACTCAATGGTACAGTGCTTGCCTCGCATGCATGAGGCCCTGAGTTCAATTCCTCAGCACCACATAAACAGAAAAGGCCAGAAGTGGCACTGTGGCTCAAGTGGTAGAGCACTATCCTTGAGCTGAAAAGCTGAGGGACAGCACCCAGGCCCAGAGTTCAGGCCCCACGACTGACCGAAAAAAAAAATCAGTTTGATAATGGCATAAAAACAGACCTGAAGACCAATGGAACAGACCAGAAGACCCAGAAATAAACCTACACTCTTAGAGCCACCTAATATTTTACAAATTAATCAAAAGTGTATGCTGAATACACAACTGGACATCCATATGCCTAAGACTGAAACTGGATCCCTGTCTGTCCTCTTGTGCTAATACCAATTCAAAGTGGATCAAAGACCGCAACATAAGACCTGAAATCTTAGACTACGATAGGGAGGAGTAGGGGTAATCCCAGAACTCAGCAGCATAGGCAAAACTTCCTGTATAGCACATCAGGGTCACAGCAAATAAAAGAAAGACTTGAGATTGTACCAAGCTAAAAAACCATCTGCAAGGCAAAGGACATAGTTACTACACTAAGAAGACAACCTACAGAATGAGAAGTCTTTGCCAGCTACACATCAGAAAACAGTCTAAAAACCAGAATATACAAGGAGCTTAAAAAAAATCAACAACCCAATTAATAACTGAACAAAGAGCTAAACATACACTTCATGATGTACATATTGCAAATAAATCCATGAAGAAATACTCAACATCTCTAGCTATAAAGGAAATGCAAATTGAAACAACACTGAGATTTTTTTTTCTCACGCAGGTTAAGAATGGTCGGTCATCATCAAGAATATAAACAGACAAAAGAGAAAGTTGCAGGGTGAAAATGTAAACTAGTGCAACCACTATGGAAATCAGTATGGCGATTCTTCAAAAAACTAAACATAGGATCTAGTGATCTAGTGTTAGCACACCAGGGTAGATCTAGTGATAGCATACTTAGGCATTTATCTGAAAGACTAAATGTCAGGATACAGCAAACATATCTGCATACCCTTGTTGATCACAGCACAGTTCAAAATAGCCAAGTTATGAAAACAACCCAGATGCCCCACAACAGATGAATGGATCATGAAATTAGGTAATTTGCTGGGAAATGGATGGATCTGGAAAATATCACATTGAGTGAAGTAAGACAGATCCAGAAAGACAAAGGATGCGTGTTTTCTACCACATGTGAATCTTAGTCCCAAAACACAACCTACTATACGATCACAGAAGCAAGATGCTTATATACACGATTAGTTCACTCATATAAAGTATATGCAAGAGTGAATCTCCACAGAGTAAGCCTTTTAAACAATAAAAGTTTATAAAATCAATAACTGAATTTGAGATTGTAAGCGTTCAGTAGTGGGAGGGAAAAAAATGAATGAAAAAGAAAATGGAATAAATACAGCCCGAATACTCGATGTACAAACATGACCAAGAAAGTAGGAGATGTGAAATGAGCTGGGGCGGGGGAGGGAAGGGACACCCAAGATTAGGGAGGGAAGGGTGGCTTTGAACAGGTAACCCTGGACACTTAGATGGGCATGCTCGATTGTAACCTCCTTACAGAACCCTTTGAAGTTCAGAAGAAAAGTTTAAAAATTTTAAAAGCTTGTAATTGTCATAGATTTTTGCCAGTATTTATATAGATACTGAAATCAATTTATCTCTACATTAGTAATGCAGGAAAGAGCCTGTTTCACCCAAATTTCACCAGTACTGTTATCAAACAATTTGTTTTCTGCTAATACAGTAGGTAAAAAAGAGCACCTAGTCAGTTGAGTTGCAATTTCAATTTTTATTTTTATTCATGAAGCTGAGCACTTTTCCATAGGTCTGAGAGCCATTTGCCTAAAGCTACAAGGACAACACATCTAATAAGAAAACTTGGGCTGGGAATGTGGTTCAGTGGTAGAGTGCTTGCCTAACATGCATGAAGACCTGGATTCGATTCCTCAGCACCACATAAACTGAAAAAGTCTGAAGTGGCGCTGTGGCTCAAGTGGTAGAGTGCTAGCCTTGAGAAAAAGAAGCTCAGGACAATGCCCAAACCTTGAGTTCAAGCCTCAAGACTGGCAAAAAAGAAAACAATGGTCTTCTTGGAAAGAGTCCCTCCTCTTTATGAATTCTGGCACTTAGTACTGTGTAAGTGGGCTGAAAACAGCATGTTATCAAAATTGCTGAACAATGCTAACAAATGAAGTGGGCTCACTCTGAGGAGTCCAAATCACTCACCAGCCCCACTAAGAAGAGACAGGCTCTCATCTGGAATAAACAGAACATTTTTCAACTCATAGAATCTTTGGAGAACTTGCATTTTTAAATTTGCTAGAAGGAGGCAGGTGCTCTGGTGAATAGTTAGACCGGATATGAGCAACCAGGAATTTAAAAACCAGGTGATCAGGACAATTCTCACCAAGGTGATATTTGAACAAACAACAGGAGAAAAAAATCTGGAGGTAGTCCAAGCTCCAGTGGCTCATGCCTGTAATCCTAGTTACTCAGGAGGCTGAGAGCCAAGGATCACAGTTCAAAGCCAGCCACGGCAGGAAAAGTCCATGAGACTCTTTAATCTCAAGAAAAAGCTGCAAGTGGCCCTGTGGCTCAAGTGGTAAAGTGCTAGCCTTGAGCTGAAGAGCTCAGGAACAACACCCAGGCCCAGAATTCAAGCCCCACCACTGACAAAAACAAACAAAAAACTGAATAATAGATAAGGTGAACAGTTCCTGGTCTGCTGAGTGAATCTGGCATTGACATCCTTCCATTTCTCACAGTTGAACCCAGGGCCTTGCACACGTCAGGCAAATGCCTTACCATTAAGCTACATCTTTGGACCCTGCATAGCTGCAGAGTGTCTGCTTCCAGCATCTTCCTTGCTTCAAAGATGTTGAGATAATCCAGAGCTACAAACTTCTCCCAGAAGCCAAGAAACCCATCAGAACCCCCCAGGTGATCATGTTTGTAGTTGGTTTATGGCTCCAGATGATAAGGGACCCCACCTAGTGACTTTTTCTCTTAGAGTTAGCTATTCCTGAAGATTTGTTCAATGTTCAGCTCATTCCTGGAAATATCTCCTGGGCGGTTCACCGAGTCTGCTCATTTCCCATTTGACTGTCTCCTGTTTCCTGTTCACGTTGGAACACAGTTCATCACCAACCACCTCAGGATACTACAAAGACTGAAACTTCACCTCCCTTGGGCTGATTAATACCCATCACGCTTATGCCCCGGACCTTTCCCTTTAAGACACACAGTTGTTATTTTCTCCATGTCAAGGACTTTAGGGAAGACCAGCTCTTTGACTCACATCACAGAGGAACTATCTCGTTCCAGAAATGAGGGGAGGTAGCCAGGCACTAGAGGCTCCCACCTGTAATCCTAGCTACTCAGGAGGCTGAGATCTGGGGATCAGTCCAATCACAGGAAAAGTCAAAGTGGCACTGTGGCTAGCCTTGAGCTTAAGGAGAGGGGCGGAGGGAGGAGATGGGAAATGGTGGACCATGGGAATAAAATGAGTCATGAAAAATCAAGGCCAGGATTTTTGGGGGGACAGGAGACCAGCTGGCAAGGTCTTCCTCTTTGTACAGAACATTCCCCCCCCCCATGGATAAAACCACCACTTCCACTACAGATTGGCTACTGTATCCTTTTCTCTATTCATTGTTTTCTTCCTTGCAGCTTTATACTTCTCTTGTGTTAAGTGTATTATGTGTGTGTGTGCAAGTGTGTGTGCACAGCTCCACTTCTGACTTTTTGCTAGTTAATAGGAGATAAGTGTCTCGGACTGGCTTTGAAACATGATCCTCAGCTCTTGGCCTCCGGTTTAGCTAGGTGTGAGTCACCAGCGAGCACAGGACAGAGCCACAATTGAATCGGCTTGGTGAAGGAGAGGTCTTACAATTAATCTCTGCCTCCAAGTGGTAACACATCTTGGCTGTCACCGATCTCAGTAACCAAGGCAGAGGAGAGGGAATCCCATTGGCTAGAGATGGTTGGGTCAGGCCAGCTGTGGTGGCTGCACACTGTAATCTCAGCCAGTGGAGGCTGAGGAAGATCTTGAGTTGGAGGCCAGCCTGGGATTCACAGCAGGGCTGTCTCAGAAAATAAGAGAAAGGGAATGGAGAAAAAAGGAAAGGGAAAGAGAAAAGAAAGGGGGGGGGAGGAAGAGAGGAGGAGGGAGGGGGAGGGAAAAGATGGCAGGGCCCTCGTGAGGGTTAATGGATGCATCTTGCAAGGCTTGGAACTGTAATCTGTGCACTAATATCACACCACGGTCTCTGGCTCTAGGAAAGGCACCACCTCGGGAAAGGCTGGAGACAGAGACACGGAGGAAGGGGGTGGGGGAGATCAAGTGGTAAAATTAGGAAAGAGATGTCATGGGCTGGGAAGGTGGGCTCTGTGGTAGAGTGCTTGCCTTGCATGCATGAAGCCCTGGGTTCGATTCCTCAGCACCCCATACACAGAAAAAGCCAGAAGTGGTGCTGTGGCTCTAGTGGTGGAGGTGCTAGCCTTGAGCAAGCAGCTCAGGGACAGAGCCCAGGCCCTAAGTTCAAGCCCCAGGACTGGCAAGAGATGTCACAAGCTGCAAACTTGGGAGAGCTCTGGTCCCAGAGGCGCCGCCCTCGGGAAGTGTTGGGCAGCTCGGGCCCAGCGCGCGCGGGGGGAACTTCAGCCAAACTCCCAGGGACCTGGAGGTGGGATCTTGGGTGCGAATTCTACCTGCTGCGTTTGCCACCCAACCTCTCATGGGTTCCCCCCCCCATCCCCCCCCGCTCTCCGGGGTCAGGACCTCAGTCCGACTCTGACCCTGGCCTCGACTTCCCCGGCTCCGCCTCCCTTCCCCCACCTCCCCCCCCTCTCACCTGATGTAAGGGAGGAAGGGGTTGACGTGCCCGGAGAGCACGGCCACTACGTAGGAGATAATGAAGGCGGCCGACGACCAGGTCACCAGGAGGAAGGGGACGAAGGCCATGCCCTTCAGGAAGCACAGCATCGCGCCGCGGCGGCGGGACGCCGACCGGCCGGAGG